TCCCAGCCAGCTTTTCTACGCCTAAGGGGTTTTTTCCCTCTTCGTGTTCAGCCGGTCATGGCCGCCGCCCCCGCCGCGTTAGTCTAAGTAAGCGAGTAGGAAAAAGTGTTGTTAGTTTTCTGGTTTCGCCTGACTTCTTATCTATCGAGCGATCCAGTCAACAGCTTCTTCTTTTTTTCTTTTCTTTTCCTTCTTAGTTGTGGTTATTTCCAATGTTGTTATTGTTGTGCGAGGACCCCTCGAAATAACCGAGATAGGCAGTATCCGTGAGTGTTTGTGTGTTTATCCCTATATTTTTTTTTATTGCCCTTCCTAGCTTTTTATTGGTTATTTCGATTTATTTCTGTCTCTGTCATATATATCCCATCCGATCCATCACTATCTATTCCCCGGTGATTACACCTGCTTTGTTACCTATAACCTGTTATTTCTTACCTGCTGCTTCTGTGATATGGATACGATACTGTATGGATTATACAGTGTTGATTGGATAGGGATAGGGATACATATACCATCATGTAGCAATAGGGATAGGGATATGAATAGGGATAGGGATGGAATGAATGGGTTGGGGGAAGAGAGAAGATTCAAAGTTTCTCCCGCAGCAGCATACTGCGCCGGTCGGTCGGGGCAAGAGATGCGTTCCTGAGGCTTAATTGCATGGCTGGCTGGTTGGCTGCATGACTTCTTCCCATCCCATCCCATCCACCACATCCCATCCCATCCCATCCCATCCATCCCAACTTGACCAGGTTGCTCAAATAAAAAATAAAATAAAATATCTCCCTGTTCCCTCCCTTACACACACACATGCACACGCACACTCTGCATCTCCCCTATGCGGAGAAAAACTTTCTTGTGCGTATTATGATCCCTATAAGGTCTGTAGTTCTCTTCCGGGGGTGAATACAGACACAAATAATTATAAGTTTGCTACATAAAGGGAGAAGGGGCTGTTACTGCCGATGGAAGGAGAAAAAGGCTGGTATGATGGATGAGGTTGGAGATTGGAGATGAGGATGGGTGATCAAAATTACTATTGATTGATTCCCCATGCCTAGACCTAGATAGACCTAGGACTCAGTAGGTAGGTCTTGGTCTTCAAAAAAATAAAAAAAAAATAAAAAAAAAGGAAGAAACAAATCTCAGGGTTCATACTGACCTGACCGCCTCCACAGCCACTCCCCGAGTTACTACTACGCAGAGGTTGGTTAAGCTAGGCACGGGATCCCCCCCCCCCTCCCCAAAAATCCTCAGTTCGCTTCACTTCCGGTCCAGTCCAGAAGCTATCTGCTCGTTCGCTCATTGCTTGTTGTCGACCGCCCGCCTGTCTCTGCTGGTCCTTATACATAGCTCTTCTCTTATGCAATGGACGGTGTGCACAACCCGCATGACGACTTTGTCAACTCGCAATGGGTTGAGATTGGGATGCAGCAGCAACAGCAGCAGCACCATAACCATCATGGACAGCAGCAGCAGCACCAGCAGCAGCAGCAGCAACAATCTACTCCCATACATCCCCAGCAGCAACACCACCAGCACCACCCTTCTCACGACTTTAGTGCCTATGGCTTCGTGGAGTCACCGGGATTCGTCCCCCACGACCAGCAGTTCAGGCTTCAGGCACCTCCTGTACCGATAGCTCCCAACTACTTGGGTTTGTCTCATTGGGGCCAAAATATGGTTCCACCAGCTGCTTCGCACGCCCAGTTTATGCCGTCGCCTGCAATTGCTCCTCCCCCGGGTTCGGCGCCTTTGCCAAACAACGTGTCGGCACATACTACTCAGTCGACATCGAGCCCGAGGAGAACATTGACCGACGCGGATAGGCGGAGAATGTGTATCTTTCACGAAGAGCACCCGAATGTCAAGCAGACCGAGATCGGAGGTATGGGAAAAAACTCTCGCGTTTTTTTTTAATTTTTTCCTTTTTCATGCACCCCACACACCCCTTCATACTTTTCCCCTATGTTTCGAAACGAAATATGCTGACCTTAACCTTTTCTTGGCATTAGCAATGTTTGGGGTTGAAAGAAGGTAATATCACGCGCGAAAAAAAATTCATAATAAAACATCAGACGAAAAGCGGCTTAGCTAATCATTCCTCTCGTGCAGTACTGTTTCCAAGGTTCTTCGACAAAAAGAGAAATATCTCTTCCCTGACGATGGGAGTAGATCACCAGTCAAACGTTCTAAAGGGAAATTTCCCGATATCGAACGAGCATTGGCAGTCTGGGCGAAAAATACGCGGAAGCAAGGCGTTGCTCTAACAGATATCATGATACGGGAGAAGGCGAAATTCTTTGCGTCAAGTGTTGGGATCTCAGACAGCCAGTTCAAAGCGAATAGTGCGGGGTGGCTGGAGAAGTTCAAACACAAAAATAACCTGCATGCAAATGGCCGGGGAAGATCGGAAAGCGACGTGACAGGCGCGGGGAGAGCTGCGTCAATAGGATTGCTCGGGTCGCCGAGACAGGGACACGCGAGGACGGAGTCGACACCGATGTTCAAGCAGGAGGGCGTCGGCCCACTTGGCTCGCCGTTGATGCGGGAGTCTAAAAGTACGGATAGTAACCATACTGAGTCTCCAGAATCCTATATGGAATTCGGTGGGTTTAAGCATCAGATGCAAACACCAGGTTCGGCCAGCACTACTACCTCTATGTCAAGTATGTTTACCGACACAGGCTCATCCTTTACAGGTCCCGCTTCACCAACCTCGCCATTCTTTTCCCCAGACGCTAGAGGTGAAAGGCTCACCAGCCCTGGATACCCCCCGCATGTTCGAATTCCGGGTGTACAACGACCAAGGTCACAAACATTCCATGGTCTTGACTCGACATATATATCACCACCGCCCTCATCAGAGCCTCTCACTCCCAAGATGATAGGTCAAACCTCTCTTCAGCCGTCGTCACTAGCCTCACCGCAGGATATGCCGCATGACACTCCGGCCTCATCCCACACCACGATATCAGGACAGAGCGCACCGCAGACACCTATGGGCCCGCCTAGCAGAGAGGATGCTTGTAGGGCACTGGAAGTCGTCATGTCCTTCATGCGACAACAACCCGTGGGGTCCGTATATTCGGACGACTATGTACTTGTAGGGAAATTGCTAGGCAGAATTGGCCTGGATGGTGGACCGATCGACGAAAACCATGCCGGATTCCCCGGGATTGCGCCTTGAGAATGTGCCGTGTCTCGTGGGGAAAGTCTTTTTTATTATTATTTGTTTTGGCTTATAAAATTTTGTTCATTTTCCCTCCCCTCTTCCCAGGGTATTTTTTATATTCCCTTTTTCCTTTTTTTTTTCGTCTCAAATACCACTGCTATCTTTTGAGATTTTCTATTCAGCGCTATTGCTCCTAATTGTATTGCGTTTTTTTTAGCATGCGAAAAACTTAAGGGAGAGTACGCTTTTCGTTTTGAACTTACATTACATCCTCTTTCTCTTTCATAATTGCGGGGACTCTTCTTAACCATTTTGACCACGTGTGCTACTTAATCATGTTTCTCCATGTTGTTCTCTTACGGGATCATGTTTAAGATTAGACTGCTAGATTGCGGTCGACCACTTATTTGTCTCGTCCTCCTTCAAGCTTTGTTATTTACGGCTGGTACTACTATCACTCCTACTCTTTCTACTATTTTGCATCACTACTTTTCATTTTATGGTATTCTTTCCTTTTGGCGTAAGATATAATTGCTGATGGCTGGCTTTTTGTTAATTGGTACTTAGCTTTGGTTCCGCAATTTTTGTTCACTGATTGGGAATCTCATAGTTTCAATTTCGTTTCATTCGTTATGTATATATTTAGATACCCTTCCTCTTCGTCTCCACCTCACACATTTTTTCCCTCGAGAGCATGGTTGTGTTTTGGCCGCAGCACTTTTACTCTTTCTTTAATTCCCTAACCCGCCATTCTGTACTGCTAGCTTACATCTAGGCCCGTCGATGCCGCTTTATCGGACATTTCATTTATTACTCTTTTTATTACCTTGAGCTTTCCTCCCCCCGCTCTTATTAGTTTTTCTTTATCTACTCTACCTCTACTCTATTTTATTTGTGCTGTGATCAATTACTTGTTGTTGCTTCTGTTGCCGTCATCGCCTTCGAATTCTTCTTCGTCGTTGTTGTTAACTTGCTGTTTTCTGTGCGTTGCTTGGATGGGATGGATTAATTGGTCGTTAGTTACACTTTCACTTTTTTTGCGGTGGTTTTTTTTGTGTTCTTTTTCTATAGGGAAGTTAGGGTCGAATATTTACAGAATCTAATCAAGAGAGATATATATTAAAAAAAAAAAAGAGAGCAGTCGTTTCGATATCGGTGTCACTGCCTGTTCCTTACTGTTTAGTAATTACACCCAACACTGCAGTGTTAATCCCCCTCCCTCCCGGGGAGATTGGGGCGACACCAAACGGATTAGGAAATTGACACCTGGTGCCAACCTTGCCTTGCTTTTCCCCCCAACCCCCGTGTGCACTGTCACATGTAGAGTAACCCATATCATGCATTCACCCGCCGGACTGCCAAAAACATCCACTGCCGCGCAGGCAAGGAGCAGAGAGAAAGTGATCGTTTCGAGCTGAGTCCACGGGGAAAGAACAAAAATACTACATGTGCGGGATGGGCGGAGGAGCTGATGCGGCCGGCCGGACGGACGCCAATCGGGGTCGGGACTTTGGAGAGTGCAGACCGGATTGGACATGAAGAAATGAGGATGGTCGTTGTGCGTGGTCGTATGTCGGTGTAGTGGTGACGAAAATTTGATCACGGTATCTCACTCGGCAGAGAGCTTTGGATACATGTTAGCTTGCTTTAAGGATTTTTTGATATTTGAAAGTTTACCCCTTGCTTTGTTTGTTCGCCCCTGTCACCCTCTGCATATCGTACCTACATGAACTCTTGTTGCACATTTCTTGGGAAAAGTGAAGTAAAAAGGTTCAGAAAAAGATTCAGATAACCTATCATAACCAAAGATATGATAATTGAAATTTGTCGGTGCCATGAATCGAACATGGGTCCTCTCGGAATAGATAAACAGGGGTAAACCTGTGTTGCCACAACGAGAAGTACTAACCACTATACTACACCGACATGTTTATTAGTGGCAACCAGTACATTAATATTCAACGCTAATTGCTTGTATCATGAACTATCACTCACTCCGGTAACCGAAAGGATAAAAGACAATGATACTTGACACAGATTTTTATTACTCCCACGAGACAGTCACATTTCCTGGCCAAGTTGATTTTCTCAGAGAAATAGCCTTCGAGCGCTTGTCCCTCGGCCGACTAGAAGTCTCTTACCCAAGGTTTTGATGCAGGCAAACAAAATGAGACCGCCAAATTCCAGTCCTGGGTATTAGGTGTTATAGAATATGATGCCATGTCCAATCCCCAAGGTCACAAGTTCTGCTATGAGAATACAGCTACTCGTGTGTTTCATGTGGTCAATTTTTTGGAGCAGGATAGCATCTTGTAGGCGACTTGGGACCGTCTGATCCGAACTCGATGACGAAGCTTTTCTCAGTTAGCATCTAAGGATCCCAAGACTTTAAGCCCTCCTTCAATCCTCTTACTTCTCTTCCTCCTCTTCCTCTCCCTCCTCCTCCTCGTGTTGCCGTCGACTATTCTCCCTATTCTCGTCCCCCCCCCCCCCCCCCCAGCCCCCCCCCTCTAACTCTCCACTCCCATTCCTCTCCTCCCTCTTTCTCTCATACCTTCCCTCTTTCTCCTCTTATACCCTTATCCTACTTCCCATCGTATCTATTGATGCTTCAATGCAGTCTCATCACTATCCCAACCAGCATCTCGCTGCCCACTATTTGAAACACTAGTATGCCGCATGAACACCGAGCAAACATCGCATTCTATCAAGGTATTATATCTCCACAGATTTCTTGGTTTTAATCGTTTGGGTTTCTACTTACTGATAGTATGGCAGACCTCTATCGATTATTATTCCAGAGAGACTTTATACGGGAAAGACTCCGTCGAGGTACTATCCTATAGCCAAGATCCAGCATCATTCATCGAATATTTCGTTTTTTAAACTACGTATTAGGTTGCCGCTCGACGAGGTGGACAGTGGGACAAAATTCGAGAGCACTCTCGTTATTGGATAACCGCTGCCTTGCTGGCTCGTTGTAGCTGAGGTTATTGTCCAGGATACTTTGTTCCTCTAGGGCGGTTGTACTGGGCCATGGGCTTGCTGCTGCTGCTAGATAATAGCAAACCACAAAGGCTCTCTGCAGCTATATAGGAGCAGCAGCCTACAAGGCTCTATGGAACAGAACGTTCCATACCCCTTCCTAACATTTCAGGACTTGCTGGATACCTTCATCAGAAGTGGCATATGACGTGTACATGGAAATCCTTGAGAACTAATTCTTCTGTCTTGGGTGTCTCCGGCATATGCATGCAGTACCAAGCAGAAAATTGAAAACTCAAGTATTCTGCCTTGAGCCCCCGGAGAATATAATAGATATTGTCGGCAAGCAATCTTTGGAGCTTTCGAAAACAGTGAGGGCATTTCCTTCTATATACTAGTTTTGATTTGTACTAATGGCTGCAGCGAAAAGCGACGTCCTTGTTGACGTCACATACGCCCACGTCATGTTTGTGGAGCGTAAAAAAATTGCTTCGATGCATTGTGCGGTACCTACAAGAACCGCAAGAATACCCGCTTCTATACCCTAACTTATACTAATAGGTATAGAAAAAGAATAGACTCTAACATCGAAAGACTGTTATATTTCTCTGGGGTGCCAAAACGATAAGAATAAGAAAGTAAGAAAATCTTCTCTATTATACGTATCCTAGCTTGTGCTAATGTTATAATACTCGAGCCGTGAATAGTTTACCGTTTATGCGCCATGACTTGCATCCTATATGCAGTCTCTTGTACATGTAGGGCGACTATACTGTGGGCTGTAAGCCCCTTTAGTCTTAGATTTAATTTCAAGCCGCGACTAGAAGTCAATGCGCTTACAGTGTGTAGCCTCCCTCACTTGACGGGGAAAGTTCTAATCATTATTAGATACAAATATGACCTTGTTCATTACGTTATTCTGGAACCAGAATAGAAGGTGCAATATAAATTCCTAGAGTTATCTGCTGGGCTTGTTGCCGCCCAAAAGGGAAAGCGGGCATAATGTTATAAAGATAGAAGTGTAATACTTAAACCGTAAAAACAATTGAGATACTTTGCTGTTGATAATAATTCAGTGTGACCGAACGTCAATTTCTTTTTGCGCCAAGTTAATCAATGCCTTCTAATAGTAGAATAGTGGATTTGAGGGATATATATAGTACTAGGACAGAGGTTTTGGTAATATACCCTTTTTACAGCGAAAGTAGCCATGTTGGGCTGCCCGAAACAACCACCCAACCTCACCAAAAAATTTGTAACCCTTCAAGGACAGTTGGAAATTGTCTCAAGATGGAGCTTGGAGAATTCTAGAATTTTGTGTCCCTTCTTCAGGCATGTGCCCCCTCCAATTTTTAAAGTGATGATTTGGGTGTTTCTGGTTTTGTATGGTGTCCCCATACAAATTTCGTGTTGCAACGGCAACCAAAAATTACCGAAACGTCTGTACCCCGACTGTAGGTATAGCTTTTAATACTAATCCATAACTCGACATGTGGTCGAGTATGGCAAAGAATACTGTGATTGTAACTCGGTGTGATTGTAGTTCTTCCGATTGCCTAGCTAGGAGCCAGCTGTCATCGTCTCTCTCTAGGCACTTGCGACTAGGTACCTGTAGTGATAACGAGAAATAAATCCATAGGATACCTCAAGCAATATATATACTTGAGAATAGATATTCCGAGAGCTTTTTTCGAACGCCGGCAAGAAATATCCCCCCAATGTCATGCAAGGAGCTCGGGCATCATCATCATCCACGATCATGACGTCCCGAAAATCCCCAAAGAAAAAACCTGTCCCATCGGTCCTTTCCCCGTACCCTACCCTACGGGCCACCACCGCCAAGACCATTAGCCGAAGTCACGCGCCGTCCGTTCGGGTCGATCGTTTTAAATTCCGCCCAGTGCGCCGATTGGGAGTCCCAGGGGACACGCACGGATAGCCCCATTGGTATTTGCGACTCGGACAATAAGAAGACCCGGCAGTTTCTCATGCAGTGCAGCGCGGCTGGGGTGTGTGAGGTGAGACATGCTGCGTTTGGGCCGTTGGGTGGCTGGCTGATATAAACGATATAGTCAACATGATAAGAGCGGTATTACTGGTGATAGAGTAGAACAGGATAGCTCACGAACTTCTTCTATCCCTCACGTACGTACATGCAGGTGTGCATCGAAGAGTATGCACATTTGCAACATTACTCTAGAAGCACATAGTTGACTGTCTTTCGGCTGGGTAGTGGAGTTATTCTCGGTTGACGGCACTCTAGTAATGTTACTCGATCTGCCTTGAGATGTGTTGCTCATCGATCACCCCGGTTCACCGTGTTTGTTGCGGTTCCTGGATTTGCTTGCTCATGGGATGTCACTCGTGCCAAGCCCAGTAGTGAAGATCTCCGAGGAATGCTGGAAGCCTGGAAAGCATAGTGAGAAGTGGAATTGGCTAGAGTAGGTGAGAGTTGGAGTCATTCGAGATTTGATCTTCCGGTATGACTACTTGTACTCATGAGACTTCAATTGCTATTACATAACGTGTCGTATGGACTAATCTACATTTTGTCATTGTCTTCTTTATTGATGACAGGGCAGCCAGGTAAGGTCCATAATAGCATCCAACCAGTTTTATACATACTATCTGCGCTAACTTTTAGAGATATCGACCCTAAGGTTCCTTCGATCCGAAATTATTACTTTACCAGATAATAGACCCTTTGCGCAAAAGACTCCAGCTCCAAATTCTGGTAACCTGATTGGCGTCGATCCTCTCATCAACCAATCATACAAGTAGAATTTAGAGCCAGCTCTATCTGCGCAGAGGGTCTAATACATCCTTGTGTAGGCGTAGTTATGACGCACATGGATTATTGCTTAAGAGATGTAAGTTTCGCACGGCCATATATGCGTACATGTAACTATTGCGACTCTGACCACGTGCAAATCCCCGGATACCAGGTCTGGTACGATATACTCTTTGATCGGACTGGTGTGTGATCCCGAGTACAGATTTCTGGGGGCCAAATCGAGAATTGTCGTCCAGATTAGGAGCCGATAACGAGTGACATGTGGTGACTTAATTTAAGTTAACGTATGTATTGGTTCTAGACGAGGCTGTGTCATATCGTTAGATATACACATGGCTGGCGAGGTTTGATAACTAGAAATTTCAAGCCTCAATACCCCGCGTAACAGTGGTTTCTCCGCCCAATAGAAAGTCATGGCACAAGAGAGATATTACCAAATACATACGATCCAGACTCTCCTGAGTGGTCCATGTGTCTACATGTAGGTACCCTTCTCATGATTATGGTCACAGGTCTCTTAGCTCCCAACCTTTTCTCTCCGCGGTAACTCGATCTCCAGCATACAGAGTAACTTATGTCTAAACTCAATTCCTCTGACCGGTCTTGCTAGATCGGGAGTAAGCTTTAAATATATCTGTAAGAAAATATAGAGGTTATAAGGTTTCGATTGCCGTGCGTCCCAACAGAAGGGACTCTGTTGAGTTGTACGCACTAAAAACCAGCCTTTTGTGTGGATAATGGTAATACTCGTTCAGGTTTCGAGTGCAATGGCACCGGAAAGCAGATCCTGAACGAGTTGCAACCTATTAGTCAAATGAAACATCCAGTCAGGACAGTCGTTTCCAACTTCCAACTTCGCCTTCTTTTCAACCCATCTTAGGATCCGACAACGATGAAGGATCTGCTGACACGACGATAGAGGACATCATATCTTGTCCAATTACCGTAAGTTAAGTTCAATATAATTACTATATGAGGCTTAACCGGTAAGAATACAAGCCGAGTCTGGCCGACGCTATCCGTCTAAGTTCCGTGCGCCGCCCAGAAAACAAATCGATTAAAACGAAGAATAACGCCAGGAAACCAAGACTGAGAGGAGTAGAAAAGAAAGAATTATCGTGAAAATGGAAAAAAAAAGAGAAAGAAG